GTCAACATTCAGTTGAAGATCTACTGATTTGAAATATGATCCTACTGTACACTGGTTATGAACAGATGTTAGAAAAAAAACACACCACAACTGACAGAAGACGAGAGAAATCACAGAGAAATCACAGAGAAATCACAGAGAAATCACAGAGAAATCACAGAGAAATCACAGAGTGCATTGATATCAGTATGGCTGACGTGACTGTGACCATTAACACGAGCGACTCTTCAGGTGGAAGCAACTGTCGCGTTTAAGCTACTCCACGGATCAGGAGTGAGGTTTCAGTGTCTACAGTGCGTAAGTGTAAGAAGGCATTGGAATAGACAAGGCTGACTTATGTCCTTGAACAGAACCACAGTTGGCGGGAGGTGAGGGGGGGTGCTGGGAAATGCAGATAAGACATCAAATGACAAAGAGATAAAAATGGAGAAATAATTTGAAAATGCCATGTGGGAAATGGAGTCCAATATGAGACATGAGATCCAACCAAACAGGCGAACACGATCAGGAATCAGAGAGGCGTTCTTATTTATTTTTTAAAGATATTTAGCTCTCCAAAATGACTTTTTTTTTTTAAATATCTGGTCAGTGTGTTGACTCGGCTGCGATTTGAGTTAAAACCTGTTTGGTGTCCATGTCTGCAGGCAAAGAATGAACGAACTCTTGCTCCTTTATTCCAGTACTGAGAATAAAGGCGAGTCGACTTCATGTCTTTGCATCAAAGTCTTCTACAAAATAGCGATTCTCTACTGTGGGCTCTGCAGGCAAAAGTTATGATAAAGTTCTAGTTTTTTTTAATTATTATTTTTTTTAACAACTCCTTCTCCATCCGTTAGTCTTTTTCTCATTCATCGTGATGTTTTTGTGCCTATTTAAGGCAGACCTGCAGTGACACTGACACTGATCCATACAGATCCTGTCTAAAGTGAAGTGCCTCTCTGTGTACGACGCAGAACGACTTTAAACAAGGTTGCAGGTGGGTCGGGCCCTTAAATGGACACAGAAAAAGACTAAGGCCTGGATTTAGGAAAGTGTGGAGGTGCCTTCAGAGCCACGTGGCAGTATGGGAATCCTTTGCGTTCTGGTCAAGGACACAAGGGCCAATCAGAGTGGAGGAAGAGAAAAAAGAGGGTTTGGGGTCAACCTACTGGAAGCATGGTCAACCCACGGCCTCCACCACTGCTTTTTTTTGGTCTTGGGTTTCGTTCGTTGTGCTCCTAAAATTTCACAGATACAGCAGTGCAACATTTGATAAGAAAATCAGTGAAAATCAAGCCATAGTTTCCATGTTAAGCTGCTCCTATAGCTCATAAGATTTTTTTTTTTTTACAGCACATCTTACAATTAAACACACTTACTCACCTTCCCCTGCTTTTATACTAGAAAACATTCCAACTCCTACATGAACTCTCATTTATATCGTCAGACCCAGGGCCGACCTTGACATCTTTGTCATACCGTCATCGTCGTCGTCGTCCGGCTGCACCAGCATCTGTCCATCACCAGACTCCTGCGCCATGCTGAGCATCTTCTCCTTGCCCCTCTTGAATTTTTGTTGCCTCACTTTAATGCGCTCCATCCTGATTAAATCAGAGAGATGTGAAGAGATACAGACCGGCATCACAGACGGCCAAACAGATGGACCATAAACATGGCCAGGCGTCATATAGAAATTAGTGTATGTTATGTAACAGCAGAGTGCTCGTTGCAGCTAGTAAGTGGATAATATCAGGGCTCATAAGTAACTCCTCAGGTACCTATAAGTGGTGGAAATACATTGACTTTATGTAGTATGATATACTGAGAGCTAGCTTCCAGGAAACGATAAATACTTTTAATCCAAACCCTTTCAAATGGCCTTCTGACTCAAGTTTCCTTATAAATAAAGGTAATGACACACATCAACGATACACTGGAGTGGAGCGGGTAATGTTCAGACTGAGGAGTCCAAATCCAACTGGACTGGATCAAATATTACCTGGGCAGACTGAGTCTCCTACAACTGACACGGGCGACATTACGATGTCAAGATTACCTTTTTAACCAATTAGCAGGCTAGAAACAGGTGAGTATTTATTTTCCAGCCACAAAGGTAAAAATAAATTGTTATTTTAAAATGTGTGAAAAGTATTTCTTTCCATAATATATTTTGTTTTAAACCAGGGAAAAATTACAAATGATTTGCATTCATTGTTTACTATTTTTTAAATTATATGTTATGTTTATAGGCATAATATTAATCTTAATTATTATTATTATTATAATAATTCCACTCTTTTTTTCTAAATATTTTACATTCTTACTGTCTTTTCAGCTGCTCCACAGATTTTCGTTCCTCCTCCAGTCTGGCTCTCACCGCCTTCACTATCGTGGCCTGGAAAAGCTCTGCTCCTCTGAAACACACAGACGGAAAGGAAGGAAAAACATAAGTACATCATTTCTCCACCAAAGGAATTAGTTTATTGTCCGAAGTCAATCTGTTATTGACCACTTTAGTTCACCAGCGGTCACAGACACAAGGTCTGTAAATACACAGGCTCATGACCTATGACCTTGCCGTCGTCCCAAACACCTTTACCTGGACGCCAGGATCTGTGACGCTCTGATGTCAGCCACGACGTGGAGGAAGTAGTAGCTCATGAAGACTCTTCTCTGCAGCAGCAGGAAGGCGAAGCAGATGCTGTCCCAGATTATCCCCGCCTCATCACTGGGCAGGTCACAATGCTGGTCCGCGGCTGGAGCAAAGAAGGTTGAATTCAGTTATTCTTAATCTGATTTAGTATCAAATTAATCATTTTTACACTTTGGTTTGTTAATTATTGGACGGAATACTGAAAAACTCACGCAATTGATCCTGGTTGGTATTGATGTCATATTCTTTGATAGTACAGGCCAAACTGAGCAGCTGGATTAACCAGCACTGTTTCTCGATGAGGGAGTTGATGTAGCCACAGGCCAGGATCTGCAGAGCAAAAGAAGAAACATTTACTTCAAAATTCTAAATTCAATCCAATATAACTTCTAACTCATTAATACAAAAGGGAGGTTCCAGTATTTGCAGTACAGTACGGAGGATGGAGAGAACTCACAGACAAAATGTTCTTCATGGTGATGACAAAGATGTTGTAGGCGATCAGGAAGTCCCAGTAGTGCAGGATTTTCTTGATTGGTTTCAGCAACAGGTCGCCACCAAAGAGCAGGAAGTAGAAGCAGGCGACCAGGTAGCCCATGCAGAAGACACTGATGCGCGTGGTTCCCGTGATGAAGATGATGGTGAGGACAAACCAGAAAAGGTAGCTGAACATGATGACCTTCAACATGTCCAGGTAAGACCTTCAAGACAGAAAAAAGCAGGTCAGAAAAACAGCAACATCAAATTTACACATTTATCTTTTTCTTTAAGTATGACTTCAGTCGACCTGTTTCTGTTGGCAGCTTCATGATCTGAATAAACAACAAACAGAAGCATATATTTATGTAGCCCATGGCGTTCATAAGTGTTTTTGATTCAGAGTTTTGAAGCTGATCACTGTGTTTACTGGTCCAGTCAATGGTCTTTGTCCATGTACTGTACCATGTTAGGGCCGTTAGAAGCATGTTGCTAATTAGGACGCATGTTTACCAGACAGTGAAAGTCAAAACAACACATAATGAACCTATCAATCACACTCAGTGTCAGGACGTCGGTAAAAGTCTAATCAATGAAGAGGAACTGGAGCAGAAACCCGACTCCTGTCACTCAGCACATGAGCACTACAGCAGGTCCGTGTCTGCGTGAGCGTCGGACATGTTTGGAAACACAAATCTTCATTTGGCATGTGAGAGGCCATTAACGTGAAGAGGATTTCTGAGAAAAAAAGGAAGCGCCACGCATTAATGTAAAGGATGTGGAGAAACCGTGGGACCACAACAACAGCCGCTGTGTTTAGGAAGCAGCTCTGATGAAGTGGGTTTCGGATCATAAGGTGCGCTGATGGGCCGGAATAGCTGAGTGAGTGTCTTTCTTTATCATGTGGAAAAAATACCTTTTCCATACATAAAAGCTATTTATTGAGTTAGAGTACAAGGCAAAAGCGTCTGAGTCGCTGAGTGATGGACAGAGTGTTTTTCTGGATTATGGATTTCTCCTCCACCCCGTATCCGTAATTCGATCCTGGAGGAAAACGATGGAATAAATGCAGCACTGCTGTGGCATGGACAGACGGGCTGCACAGCTCTTCCTCTCTCAGCGAGGCCTTGTTGATGGACACAGAGTGCGTTAATAAAAGACTTGTCCACTTTGTGCATCAAAACAGTGGAATGTGAAGAGCACATAATCAATGACTGTGGACAGGTCAGGATGCTCTCGCTGTCTCTCTAACTCGCTCTTTATCACGCTGCCTCTCAAAACCATCGGTCCAATCACCAAGTCAGCATCCAGATCCACATTCAAATGTGGGAGTGCCGCCAGAATTCTGAATTATGTAAATGGTGGGTTTTCAATTACTTCCCTCACCAAGAGACTGACATGAGAAACTGCATCTGTCGTCCTTTTTTTTTTACCTTTATTTACCTAGCATGAGAGATTTGCTGAGCTAGTTGGTGCTTATTCAGCACCGGCCCACTTAAGATTTCTACAGTTACCAGCCAAGTACAACAGCCTTCTACTCAGCTGGACTCAGCTGAACAGCTCCATTGGAGTGAAGTCACATAAAAAGTCTTTCATTACTTCTGATTTCAGTCAGATGGAACACCCACGAAACCGCCTTCGCTTTTCATCCTCTTCATTTATTGGCTTCTAAAATTAAATGTATTTTCCACTTTGATGCGTTTTGTGTTCATCACTCGCAGGAAATGTTGTGTCCGCTGGTTACTGTTACAGGACGAAGGTCAGACATTACATCTGTCCTCGTGCTTTTGTGGTTAGAAATCTGCTCAGGAAGACAGCAGTGCTGTGTCAGTGTCAGTTGTTGTGGTTTATATGTGAGACTTGTTGTCATGGACTAAATCTAGTCCATGACAACAAGTGTCACAGGCCTGGTTTTAAAAAGATATTATATTATATATATATATATATATATTATAAATTCAGCTTTACTGCAGCAATGATTCATTTTATTCATTGACCATTTTATGAAGATTTTTTTTGTTCAATGTTTTGCAAGTCTTTTCCAAATTAAAATATTAAAACCTGGATAAAAAAACACTTCTGTATATTGCTATAAATATTCTATATCAGAAGTCACTCCAGTTGTGTCACCTGCAGTGGATGAAGTCAGGGACAGGGTTGTGTACACTGAAGGAGGCCGCGTCCAGGTCCCTGCAGATCTCCACGTTGTCACCAGCCATGATGCGAACTGCAGCTTTGTTCTCGTCTTCAAAGACCTGCCTCTGAAGAGAGGCGCACAGCAGCAACATGAAGTCATCTACGGAAAAAAGAAACCACAGATTTACTAGGTGTTTAAACTTCAAAACAACATCTAAAAAAATCTATTTTCTAACTACTGAAAACCAGCACATCTTAGTTTGAAAAAGGAGCAGAGATTATTAAATCTCTGTTCACATTATGACGACTTCAAGATTTCTTAGTATTGCTTGAGAGTTGTTAAAGACTGAAAAACTGAAACCAGAGTAATCTTCTTACTCCTATAACTGAAAATAAAAAAACCTACATATGAGAAAGGATGGACTGGGCCTGGTGTGGAAGTCTGGGAGATAAAGCCACTTGACCACATTGGAGTCGGTAAAAGAGCTGGGAAACCTCCAGGGATATTCTGAAGAAAATACACACACCATTGTTATTATTTATGAAGAAAACCAAAATATCCAGTTGTCCTTCCACAGAGGACAGTGTGGACAAAGAGTGCACTGACCTTTACAGGCTGCAGGAGGAATCCCAATACAGACAAAGTACTGGAAGGTAAGCATACAGGCCAGAAAACAGCAGTACTTGGGCCAGATCTCAGCGATGGCTTTCCTCCTCCGTCTGTACATGACGACTATCAAGGCCAGAGCATGAAGCATGGCATAGAAGTCCATCCGCTGTCCAATGACATTAACTACTAAGAGAAGACACGTCTGTTGAAAAAACGGAAAGAATTAACACAAATAATGCAAATATACACAGTATACACTAATATACACTATATACACTCCTATATAAATATATACTGTACCAGATACACGCCGTCACAGTGTGAAGTGCCAATAACGGATCACTTAAAGTCTCCCTCACCTCGAGACCAAACTTGTAGAAAAAGTAGTTGATGAAGTATTTGATGAAGCTGATTATGCCGATGTCAAGGTGCTGCCGAGTGATGTCATGGAAGATGATGCGAGCAGCGGGAGGCGACAGCTTGTTCCTCAGTCTGAAGTACTCCTGATGGCGGTAGATTGTCACTTCGAACGCTAAGATGGCCAACATCAAGAGGTTGTTCTGAAAAGACAGGTCATAGGTTAATTCATTCATTTCAAACTGAAATTCATCACCTTTTATGAACAATCTTTTTAGCCTTCTCACTTACTTGAGTGTCGCCATGGCAACAGATAGCTATACATTTCGCAGTTTTTTGTTTTGTTTTTTTTACCCATGATTAGGGACTAGTTGGAATGGAACCAGGAACCTTCTGCACACTAGGTGGGATTCTTACCAATCTCCCCCAGCTAAATTAAATAATCTACACTTGGGAAAATCATCCATACGTCCCTGTTGTGTGCATGTTGGACCAAGTCTGAATCCCAGGGTTATAAATCCATCAGGTTTACACCTGTTGTGACTGCTCACCCTGAGGTAGCCCAGCAGGTCCACAGACTTGTCCAAGCCCACCCAGTTAGCTGGATCCACAAGGCTGACGTACAACGGAGTTGCTTCCATCTCCTTCTTCTGGTCATCTGCGTATTGTTCTAAAGTCTAAAAAAAAAAAAAAATAAGATAAAAAAAAATCAGTTTCTGCACTGTAGTTTGTAACAGAAATTCAGTTTCTGCACTGTAGTTTGTAACAGTGAAGGAAATCTGGGCAAAGTCATTTACCGCTGAACAGTTGGTGGAATACGAAGGGGGATTGATGGACTTCAGCTGGTACAACATTTTACATATGATGATGACACACGTCCACACAGTGCAAACACTGGAGGCAATCGGCCGATACTGGCCGTAGGGCAGTGCAAAAGCCCAGGACGCCAAGAAAACAAAGTTGAACAGAGACACCTGTGGAGGAGATAGAAGAAACAGTGAGTTAATAAAAAAAAAAACACAACCTAAAAAATGATGCTTACACTTAAAGAAAAAAAAAGCTTCTTCACCTCCTTGACTGAGACTAGGACGATGTAGCAGGCCACGATCTTGATGATGTGGATCTCCAGGAGCCACCAGATAAACAGCTGGAGTTTGTGGAAATACTCAAGGAACTTGAGGAAGAGCACAGTCAGACGGTCGACAACCAGGTGCCACTTGTTCTTCAGATCTGAAGACGGGGAGAGAAAAACCAGAGACGGTTTGAGGATTAAAACATTTGTGAAGAGTCTAAGACGGAGCGTGCTTCCACAATTACAGCAGTATTTCATCTGTATAAACACAAACACCCAACCACAGCCTGGTAATGAATTAAGGTCAGACTTATAACACAATACTCTCTTTATCACTGCGCCTGCTGCTGCTGCTGCTGCTGCTGCTGCTGCTGCTGCTGCTGCATGCTCTGAGTTACAATAGGATGATGTATTTATATTTTGATATATTTCATTTGATATACTGTATTTAAAAGTGTGCCAGTCTGTGTCCTACGGATGTCCACAGACAAGTGAACTCCCATAGACCAGATGTTTTATCATGACGGTTTTTTAAAATTACTCAGGTTGTAAAACAGAAACAGAAAGCTCATTGTTCAGAAACTGTGAGAAAACAAACGGCTGGGTTTGGCCTGCAGCTCATTATAAGACCGTGGAGGGTTGGGTTTTTATCACCTATTTTATTTGCTGTGAATATAAACAACAGCTCAAGTTAAACCCTGTGTGAAAGTCTGCGTAAACATGTTTACGGTCGGCCCTGTGAGCAGGACAGTGAGGTGGGTGAAAGTGAGCCAGGAAGTGTGCAAACCCAGAGATTCATTTTATGAAAGCCAGCGTCTCTGAAGCTGATTCATTAGCGTCCGATGAGCGTGACGACAGTAGAGGCTTGAGAAGCAGACAGTCCTTTAACAGACCCTTGGCCTTCAAAGTTTGTGTAAAACATACGTCTTCTAAGAAGACTGTGGAGCAACAGGCCGAGAGAAAGACAGAGAGGGGGACACAGAAAGACAAAGAGAGAGAGAGAGGGAGGGAAGGAAGGAAGCAGGGAGGGAGATGCCATTGATCTGAGACAGTGGTGTCTCGTGAAGTGGCACACACTATGCCTTGAAAGAAAACAGCAACGTTTGGAAAAGAAAAAAAAAAAATCACACGAAATGAACTGTATACTGTATGTTTGATTGATTTGAAATTGATTGACTGATGACCAACTGAAGTCCTTCCACACGTAAAAAAATGTGAAAAGAATTTTCACATACAGCCCACTAACATCTGCCTTGACGGTTCCTGGCGTTATCTTTAGGTTGGTACAGTTGAAACGTCACACTCGTGTGTTGACAGTGTATCTCTGGTACCTGAGCTCTGCTCCGTGCTCGGCTCTGGCTCCGTCCCTGCACTGCAGTGGTGACTCTCTTCCCCACTGGACTGCCGCAGGTCGGACAGGCTCTTGGACTTGTGGCCAATCATGTCCACATCATCCATCACCACAACCAGAGCCTGATTCTTCTCCGCTTCCCAATCTCCCTGCTCTTTCTGGTTCTCCGTCGGCTCGGGCTCCTGCTCTCTGGACACCGCTGCGTCCACTGAGCTTGCGCTGAGCATGGTGAGGTCTGCTAGGCTTCCGTCTGGATGGACCAGTCTGCAGACAGGTAACGTGTTAGCAGACAAACAAAGGCATATATGTGCATGTGGAAACTCAGCTGTATTTCTGTATTTGTGAGGACTTGGAGTAAGGTGGACTGGTTTTCTAAAAAGTATTTTATAAAGTTTATAGATGGATTTTACTAAACACAGAGTTCACAGACGTTTGATGAGGAAGATGGTCACACTTTCTGTTTTTTTTTTTTATTGCAACTTTCAGGTCTTTTTTCAAGTCTTTTTCAGGTAACAAGATATCATTTGTCCTTAAATATTGAGCTACATTTTAATTTGATTAAACATTACATTTTACTTTTGCACCTATATTTATTAACATATTTTATTAATTCTGAGATTCAGAGGAACGGTCTTTTACTGAACACTTTCCTAGTCTTGACACGCAGCCACTGATGAGGAGGCCACCAAGTGGTAGATACGTAAACTTGAAAAAGTCAGAGTGAAATCAGTCAGTAACTGATCTCACAATGTTATGATTGTAAGGCAAGAGAACGGTTCAATGATCCACAGTTCAAATTTGATTGATTTTTCTCAGCTTGATGCTACAGGACTTATTCATGAACTTTATACTTAAATTTGAAGATAAAACGAGGCCAAGTCAATCAACATTTTATTATTTTTTAAACCACTGTGTCCTCATAAGTACATCAATACTGCACACACTCATTCTCAGGGTCCAGGTGATTTTTGAAAGGCTCTGAAGCAGACACTGGGATGAGTGGGTTCAGCTTTTGTCCAGTAAGTGATGATCAGAGCAGTCTCTAATCAGGCATTGGAAAATATGATGTATAATGTAGAAGCAGTGCACATTCTTTAAACATTCTTGATATATGGTTTTTTTATTATTATTTTTTCTGTTTTTGAGTGGCTTTTTGCTGCAGCAGCTACATGTCAGCTGGAGGAAAGCATTAACTCTCTGAATTCATCTCAGGCAATGGAGCAAGGTCAAAGGTCAGGTTGTTCTTGCATGAACTGGCTGCAGATCAATACATGTACTTTAATTACCCCGTGGTCACACTTACTTGCTCTGTTGAGTTGGGATTTTTTGCTTGATGCTGCTCAAGACATCGAAAGTGTTTACATTAGTTACGGAGAAGTTACGATAAACAAAAAAAAAAAAAGAGAGAAACCAGGGCAGGCAGGCTGCAACCCACACTCAAAGTATACTGTATTCATGAATACATTTATGAGAAATATGTATGAGTGACTGGCATGAAGAGTCCTGTGGTTTTGGGGAGACAAGCTTTTTTTGGGAAAAAGAAGGTTCTCAGGAGTTCATCGCATGGGGGGGTTAAAAACTGCCAAGTTACTCAAAGGGTGGAAGATTGTTTGGAGACTGAAACATGCTTCAGAAAGGTCAGTGGAGAGAAGTTAAAGGTCGTACTGAGGAAAAGGCTGGATTAGAGCGGGGAGGGGGGCGGAGGGGGGCTTCTCAAAATTTAGAAATCCAAAGTACAAAGGTGGAGAAGGACGCAAGCAAAAATAATAATAATCTAGACATCGACTTGTTGTCGGTGGAAGGTTAAAACTCCGGGAGGTCTTATGTTCTTGTCTCAGGCATAGGTCAGACGGGAAACCTCAATATTCCAAGGTAAACTGGGAAAATGGTGGATGCCACAGAAAGCGAGCAAATATACCCACCTATCCACGATCAAATAGACACGCCCACTGACTTTAGCGTGGCTGTGAGGAAACGTGGCAAAGGAGAGACAGCCACAGGTCACAAAGAGAAGCAGAGGAGACGGGACAAGCAAACGGCAGAGTAACAGAGGAAACTAGACATTGACAAGAAGTAGTAGTAGTAGTAGTAGTAGAAAAAGACGAAGACAGACTGGAAGCCAAAGGAAACACCTAGGCTACAGTCAGAAATTAAGGGGTCTCTTTGTGAGACTCCTCTGTTTCAGGGTCGTTTTAGGAGAATAAAACATATTTAGTACTTTGTCACATTCAGTTGTAATTATTGTGATAGGAACAAAAATAGTTTCAGGCCTGCTTTACCTTTGGGAGTGGGAAAAAAAACCTAATTTTGATTCAATAATTTCATGTAATTTAATAACTTTCCAAACACAGAACTGAGCGATATCCAATAGAACACTATATATAATTTTTTTGCTCTCACCTGTAAATCGTGCTCTGCTCTTTAGCCACGACAGCCTGCAGGTCGGTGAGCTGCAGAAAGCGGTCATGGAAGTAGTGCAGGTGGAGAATACACACCAGCAGGAAAGAGGTGGGGATGAAGATCCTGGTGAAAAGCTGGGACACAGTAAACTGCTCCAGTCCCAGGTCCTTCAGGCTGCAGAGGTGAAGACAGTCCAGATGAAAATGGGACAAAAAGAAAAACAATGTGTTCAAGATATTTTTGTTTCAGTCAAAACTAAACTAAATTCAATTCTTTGTAACAAAGCGCTCCAGTGGTTCTCCATCATTATCTTACACCTGTGATGACATTTCTGTCCTTCTGGTTAGTGACACTATATTTACTCCAACAGCTACGCTGTGTCAGCCACACAGACATAACAATAAGTGATCAATGTTCAACATCTGTTCTTTTCTGCAGAAACATCAGCTGTAAAAGACTAATGGTCATTAAAACAGTTAACCTCACCCACCAGCAACCAGAAGAGCGGGTGTTAACGCTCTCCTAACAATGTCACCTTCACAACATCTGTTATTCACCACTGATGACACTCTAACATCTGTTCTACTCATACTCCACAGACCTTTGAAAATGTAATAAAAAAGTATCAATGGTGTAGAGCGAGGTTTGAGTTACAGAATAAATGAAAATGTAACAGAAAACAGGTGTTTCAATGTTGACGTTGTCGGTTCGCTTCACTTCCAGCCGCGCTCGCTGCCAATCTGTAAAATGAGAGCGGAGGTCGAGCGTCGCTCACCCCTGCTTGTTCATGCCCAGCATGTTAGACCAGAAATCCACCGAGCCTTTGAACTGGAAGGTGTAGACCAGTGTGAGCACCAGCATGGTGTACATGACCACCGACATCCAGAAGTACTTCAGCATCCTGCGCCACCACTCGTAGTGCACCTCGGGGGAAACACAGTTCAAATAAGCATTTCACAGAGCGGTCTTTATGTCAGTTTATCAGCCGTAATGAGCCAAATTAAAACAGGGAGCAAGAGGACATCTGGATCTGAGCGCCACTTTTATGCTGAGGTGATAAAGCAGTCAGAAACACACTGTGGATTATGAGCCTGCTGCACGCTGACTTTATGACCCCAGTAAAATTCTAAGCACCTTCTGATGTTGGGGAAATTGAATTTGTGAACCCAACACTGTCCCAGCCAAAAGATAAGCTGGAGTGTAGTACAAAACCTTACAATAAATAAAACTGAATCATCTGCAGTTCACACTTGAGCCACACGGTGGGTAAGCAGCAAGGAGGTTTCTTTACACCTGGCCCCGAAATAGATCCTTGCCTTGACAGTGGACTGCTGGCATTTGCCCTCACCCACACCCTCAACCCCCGACCCAATCCTCCCCTCCACCTGACACTGATTGAGATCTGTCACCGTAGCTTTAGTCCACTAGGTGTCCTCGTGCACATGAAAGGCTATGATTGGTATGATGGGGTTTACTGATTGGAGCGGACTGATACCTGGTAAAGTGCCACACAGGAGAGGAACATCATCATGTAGATGATCTTGTACATGACAATGGTTCCCTCAAAGCTGACAAAGAAAAACATGCCGCCGCAGATGTAGATCCAGTATTTGACCAGCAGGGCCATGACCATGCTGCCCAGGACCTGCATGATGTCCTGCTCCCCTCGGTCCTCAGTCTCCTCCTCCTCCTCTATAAAACACAACAGCAAATCAGGACTCTACACCGTTGGAGGGACAGTGGACTGATTCATGTTGGCGAGGAAACTCATTTACTTAAATGCTTAAATTCATGTTTTAGCAGGACTAAAAAAGAGGAGAGGTTTAAGAAAAACACAGACTTAAAAAAAAAGCAATCATAAATCTGTTTTTTTGCAGTTAAATAAGGCAATTAAGTAGAAAAGTAATGACAGAAGTTCAAAACCTTTGAAACATTATTTAAAAAACCCAATTATTTTCCATCTTTTCACAAAAAAAAACTGTTGACTGTTGGTTTTTCATGGAATTTTCAAGAGGAAAATGGCACAAGCAGTTGTCGGAAAAACTTCCTTGGTTACCACAATGTGTACCTAGCATTATACCACATCATATTTCCACAGAAGTTGTTTAAAAAGGAAACAACTGCTTACCTTTTTTCTCCTGATCCTCCACATGGATGTCTGACAGACCAGCGCTATCTTCCTTTTGTTTTTCCCATCGCTCTGTGAGCGTTTGTCGCAGCAGCAGCCAGAAGCTCAGCAGACACAAGACCTAAACAAAAAGAAAAAAATGTTTAGACGAACACCTTACCAGCAAGGTGACAACAGACCAGCTAACGACTAACCACTCATTGGAATTTACTTTTTCATATGCATTTAACAGAAAATACTGTATGTTTACGCAGTAACTCAGAGTGGAGTTTGAAACTCTCAGAGAATTGTCTAAACTTTCAGGGACGTCTAAGATCTGCCAGGACTTTGCATAAACTTTGAAACACACGGCGTCCTGGATGTGAAATACTTCTAGTACGGATGACTTCAGATGGATGAAGTCCACTGCACGTCTGCGGTGACCCGTGGACGTTTGAAATATTAGAGCAGACACAGTACTTACTAAAATAAAAGAGCTTTTCCAAAAGATGTCACGATAAATAAAGTGGCCTTTTCTCCTAGTGCTGCAAAGAAGGAATTTCCCCTTCTTTCTGGGGAAAATAATGATTTATGTGAGTGTAGGGTTTATTCCTCTCTGTAGTTTCATTTCAAAAAAGACATGCTGCAAAACTGAATTGAGAAAAACCAGAGTCCATCTTCATTATTAACAAAAAAAACATCAAACCCACACAGAAAAAAGCACTTTGTTATAGTGTGTTTAAATCTAAAGTTTGTAACATTTAACGTGAATTAAAGACCACTAATGATGTTTTGGATGTAGTATGACTGCTGACCAGTAAGAGCGCTAGTTCCAAAAGTATCTGGCATAACATGAATTATAATAATGTTCACTTCCAAATATTCAGTAAAAACAAATTAGGTTCTTTTCAATACCATTCCAACAATTAAAGTAAAATAAAGTATTATTATTATTATTATTATTATGAAGAAAACACATTTTAATGTTCTCCCAGTGAGCTAGCTGTTGTAAATGTCTTTTATAGTTTTTATTTTAGTTTAATTGTGTTATGTCAAATCTTCTTTGACACTGTTCTGTCCAGTGACCTGATGTGACTTCATTTATAAGACATGTCTAAAACACAGAAGAGACTGAAAATCAATTGTAGCTCAAAAACCTTAGAGGACAGGGAGTGGAATGGGTTCCTCTTCTTGACAAAGAACCCTGGGACCTCGCCCATGTCCTCAAAACTCCAAATGTACTGCAGAACAATCAGCAGGTTGCCGTAGGCCACCATGAAGGGAGAGGACAACATGGCGTAACGTCTCCGGTCCCTCACCATCCACAGAATGCAGGACCAGATGAGGAAGGCAAACGTTAACCAGCTGACATACGTGATGCTCCAGGCCTGAGGAGGAGAGAGGACAATTATTTGATTTAAACAAATGCAAGACAAGACTTTCTTGTTTATGAAGCGTGTGTGTATTGTCCTGGGATGTCTTTGGCTGAAGTTTTTACTCCTTTAAAAAAAAAAAATTGACAAGAGTTTCCAGTTGAAATTCAAGACTCGGAAAAAGAACAACTTTTACCACAAACACTACGGTACGTGAGCTGCCAATACACAATAACTCTGTGAGTAGTTGCAGGAACATGAAATAATACAGTAACGCTGCACTAATCTAAGTGAACGTCTCAGTCAAAGCACATCTGATGAACTGTTACTGTTGGTTTAAAGAAACGTTGATGTCGTTTTTCAGTGAATGGTCTTAAAAAGGTCTGACAATAAAACAAACACAGAGGGAATGAAAAAGGGTTTTCAGTACTTTAGGAACAAAATGAATTACTCTTAAAGATTACTTTAAATCAGACAGTATTTCTTAGATCATGGTAAATGATTATTTAAGCTCTTTTTTCTGTGTTCAGTGCTCCTTGTTTACTACACCTGTATTATATAAAAAAAGAAAATTACATGAAAATTATATAACTAATAATTACTGTACTTGACTCTACCTAACAGTAGTTTTAATGGTTATAACAGTTAATCATTACTATCACATACTACTAACACTTAAAGTATTTTGTAGCTTCCGTGCATTTAAATGAAAACATTGTATTTAATCAAAAACATCCAGCTTTTTCCGGCTACTAAAACCTTCACAGCGAGTTACAATAATAATGGATTTAATGAAATGCGATGGTTTACTGAGTCATAATCAAAATCAAAACTAGGATCTGTAAGGTATTTCTCAGATTATGATTCATCCGGGAATGTGAGTGGGAACAGATGTTCCTTAAAAATCATATCCTGCCCCACAGCCACTCAGCCAGGACGACCACACTTCCTTCTTGACGGCGGCCCAGCAGTTCCACCGGAGCACAGATCACATCAGTGCCTTGCTGAAGGGCAGGTTTTTAATGTGTTAGGTATTCGACAACCACACGAGGATTTTTCCTTGCCCTGTGTTTGTAATTGTTAAAGAAATGTTTATTTTGCTGTTTTTGTGTTTTGACATGTTAACTCACGATTACAAACTGAACGTTGGAAAACAACAAAAAAAACAGAATGATTTTAAAAATGACGATGTGTTTGTGGATCTTTTTTCGTTACATGTTTACACATGACACTGACCCAGGGCCAGCAGACTCACCATCATGGCAATGAGAGCGCAGATGTAGCTCTGCTTCATGACGAAGTGGAAGGCTTTGACCATGGCGCTGACTCCCTTCTGTTTTATCCCGTCGTCGCTCTCCTCAGATTTCTCCTCCTCTCCGTCCTGCGGCGAATCCTCCGAAGGTAAACACACTTCGTACACACTTTCTTCCTTCTTCTCTGGTTGGACACACAAACACAACTCTGTGCTTAAACGGTTCCGGCTGTTGTCTCCTGACATTTGTTTGGTGTCACGTTTTCAAAGGTTAAGGCAAATGATACTATTCAGCAGAATATGAGGAATCAGATATTTACAGACTCAGACTCTAAGCCATTGGAATTGGAAAAGAAATGTTGTTTTAGACCTTGCTGCCACAGAAAATATTTTTCTTAATATCATATTTCACAATTTTCCAAACTCAACACAGGCATTTTAAAAAGGCCGTAGTCTTTGGAATATAACAGACTGGCCCTGAAACAACAGACATTAACATTGTTAACAAGGAAAATATTGATATTGTCAAAGTCATTATTAGTACTGCTGGTGTGTTTTCTAGTAAAATTAAGTGGTGAAAATCACTGGACACAAATTCTGTACAAAAACAAGGAGGAAAACGAACGGAGGGAGAGAGGGTCAGCGAGGAGGTCAGGACATATCATGTGACCTCCTGGGTGAGTCCAGTTGAAGATTGAAGAAGTTTCTTCTTGTACAAAATGCAGCTTTGTTTCTGTAGAATGTACTGAGAATCATGACCCCTACAGGGTAGATAGTGTACTGCAACTGTACTATATATATATATATAAATGGTAAAAATGTTTAATTGTAACTTTACTGTTCAACCCAACATGTGATTGATAAACTCACCTGGACCATTACTGGGCATGTCCATTTTATACTGGGGGGTGGAGTACAAATCCAGGCAGACTGGTCCATTCTCCGTTGTGACAAACTCGAAAGACGTCCCATTTGAAGTGGGCAGTCCCTGTAGAACATCAATCAAAACTCAAGTTATTATTTTACTAACTACTATTTTGCTCCCATTACAACACA